TGGCACTTGCCGACAGGTATTGTACAAATCTTCCATAATATCGTTTCCTTTTGTTTTCAATTGCCCGGTTTAGGAATAGTTATCTTCCTATCTAAAAAATATTATTATTATTTGTGAAATTCCAATTATGCTTGACACTTGTATTGGTAATGGTTTACGACCATAATCGACTGATGGAATTTGTACTATTTTATCTATTAACAGTTATTTACTAACCTCTATTTAATCTTTTACAGCGTATAGCTTGCTGCATATCACCGGAATCTGAACATGAAGCGATTCGAGGCGGTGCTCCCGTTAGTCGCTTTACCTGGCGACACTGGCTTTATGTGTAATTAGCGTAAATTGCTGCTTATTTCCACTAAACTACTGGTAACGCGACTCCTATCTATATATATATATGTGTATCAATTTCCACTGGCTCGGTCGCCAGTTCGAAAACAAAAGCTAGACGATAAGTGTATTGGAGGCTATATTTCTGAATTAGAAACTAGAAACATTAGACCAATGTTGACATATAACCTAAATTACATTTATTACGGATTATTTAATAATTTTGACAAGAGATTGTTAAAATCTTGTTGAATCCTGTAGATTTTATTAAGAAAAAATTCTGAAAAGTCAAGAAAATCCTGCTTCATATGATTAAATCTAAAAATTATTACTGAAACGCTTCAATATACAATAAATATTCGCAAAGCTGTCCTGCCAAATAATTAACATTTAACTATGATAATAAACAACAATATAGTTAAGATATTTAGTAATATGTACCTTAAATTATGAACGTAGATTACCATCAGTTTCTTCTCCCATAACACATTTACAAAAACATCGTTGTCTCTGGTTTTCAAAATGATTAAGATAATATGATGATATGTAGTTATGATACGTAGTAATATTTATGTATAATCTAACTAGAAATATAAATACTAGGTCTTTATAATGTGTGAAGAAAAAGTTTCATATATTTTCCGAAATTTAATTATCAACATCATGTCCATGTTTTTATATCTCTAGTCAGTCTATACATGTCTATACATACAGTCTATATGTTTTGTACCGATGTTTCGGCAGTGTAAACCGACGGTTACACATAATCCGTAGATGTAGATTGTAGACGTTGATATATTTTGTTGATTGTTAGTTAAGAAATTTATATTTTAAAAATATATATTTTTGTTACGTTACGTAGTGTAATATTTAATAATTAATATATTAAGCTTAATGAATATTCTGCATAGATCTATAATAACTAGTTTTTTTTTATATTATACGCTATTTTAAAGCATTAAATGTTTTTAAAAAGTTACAATATTAGTGTTGTTAATGCTACTTATCTGTGTATCATTATATCTTGAAATTGATATTTCTTTTAATTCAATGTAATAAATAGATTTAGATATCGTCCTTAAATGGACCAATATCTCAAACAACTGTGACACATACACAATAATCTTGTAAATAATCGTATTTAATAACCTATTTATGTATAACGACTATGTAGAATGAATATATATTTTGTAGAAAAGCTTAAATCAAAATTTAGATGCTTGTGAAATGTGTACATTTAATATATATAATATATAAAAACAATAACCATTACTTTAGAAACATTGATAGTATTTATTAGTTTCAATGTCTTTTTAATGTTAAATATATAATTGTAATAATAATACGTAAATGTGCCGTACAATCAGGTTCACTTCTTGCGGCACAATTAACACTTAAACTACAAGTGTAACGGAAGGAATAATATTGTAAGCTAGAGAGAAATAGGTACTCACCAGCTCGATGACCGCTTCACCTCCTGCAGGTGCCTGGTCTCTGACAGTGTTAACCGAGTCAAGTCTATAGGCGCCAACGATGCTGCCTGAAGTTGTACCGTAATGATTTCAAACGTGAAACCGAATTTCGAGCGACCCCGTTTTCTAACAGAAATTGACACGCCCGTTGTGTCTTCACGTTGCCATACAAGCAACCACTTCAAATGACTTATTTGCACACGTGTACCAGATCGACCCGCTTGGCTGCTGGATTACGACTTTTTTTCCCACATCTCTCCGCAGACCCCGCGCTCATCCGAACTGGAGATAGATTTTTCGTCTACCCGCCCGTGCGGGGGAAAAAAATAAGCGCGGTTACCCGCATTAACACGCGAAATTCAAATTATCTTCGCCATAATTTGAATTCCGAACCCGTACAATCTGTACTAACCAATAAATGTATTTAAAAATTAAAATTTCATTCCTTGATATGCTCTATACAAACAAAAACTTAAAGAATTCATAATGTTCAGTAAAACCTACGATAAATTGAAACTAAAAAGCATATATTCGTGACATAAATAAACATGCTACCATATAGATCGTTATGTAATTAGAAAATAATACTCATTTAGTTACTATGTAAAACCATATATATTCTTTACATGCTCCGGGCGAGTTAAAACTGTATTAAAATCTTGTATCGTGTTATGTAAATATTTGTTCAGTCATAAATGTATTGGAATTGTATGTAAATGTTAACGTGAACTGTGTTCATCTGTGTATAAATAAATGTGTTAGTCAACTGTGACAATTTGTTTTATTATCATTCAATGATAGATAAAAGGCTACCAAACTCCCCACGGGTAATGATAAAAGCCATAAACAATATTTTCATTCGAAATATTAGTAAGAGCACACACCTATAACTAAACTATCGTAGAACAGTTGTGCGATTGTCGATTGTTTCGCAGCAAATTCAACTGTTTAGTTGCACAACTAAAAATCGAGTAGTATGCGCACCTCCATATACGCTCATAGGAATCGAAGCAAGACTAAACAGTTGTGCGATAGTTTAAAGGTTTGCGCGCGCTCTCACAACTTACTTACTACAGATAATAAAAAATACTATTATACTATACTAGCTTACTAGTTAATGCCTTAACATTAGATGAACAAATTCCAGGACAAAAGACGATGTTCTCAAAGAAAGATTTTTAAAAGTAAATACGCCCAGAAAAATATGTAATATGGTAAAAGAACAAAAAACGTAGGCATGCTATTGATTTATACAACATACTCACAGTACTCCCGTACGAATAAAATCACTAAATCGACCCTTAGTTCTACTTAATTTGTACTACATATTTAGAGTTAGCTTTTAATGACAACTTTTCTTTGCTAAAGCAACTAGATGGATTTAAACAAATACTTTTTTCGCGGGTATACAAAATGTACTGCGATCTTCAGAAGCCTGTAGACCTGAAGCCCAAACGGAAAGGATTTTGAAATTTGATGCATTGCCTATTTAAGGCGTTCCTTTCTTTAAACATAGGGTTTAATAAGATCGAAAATCCTAAACAATAACCAACGTATTATTCATTTTAAAAAATCTGCATTCAATACTTTCTATGATAATAAGACTATATTAAATCAACCGGGAATGCTATATAAAACTTAACTCTAACTCGCAGAACAAGTGAAACTGCGTGTGAAGGAACGTTGGCTGTGCAATGGCAGACTTGTCATGTAGATTTCAATTCAATATTCAGTAATTTATTTGTAAGATATAATAAAACGCTTTACTTTATGATTAGGCATAACAGTAACATCACTTACGGTATTAATTTAAAGTGTTTAGTTGTTAAGACCTTTGTGATTTAATGTGGGCTAATAAGATAGTGCAATTACAAGAAAACACTGTACGTTATCACCGAATCGATATAACGACGAAAGATTCATAAATTGCCGTGAATTCATTATCGTTATGTCAACAAACTTATGAGATAAGTGGAGGTAAAGATAATTAAGTTTTTTCTAGTAGTTTTTACTTACCACTTCTTTTTACGTATACTTGTAACATCAAGAAACATATGTTTACGATATTTTTATTGATGTAAGTAGTGCGCGAAATTAAACCATTTTTGACCGACTTTCCAAAGGAAGGAGGTACTCAATTCATCTGTATATTATTTTTAATCAATTTTACTTTAGATTTAACTCATTATTCCATAACATTTTAAAATTAGATTATATCTTTAAGTAAAATCCCGTAGCTAGTTGGTATAATTAATACATCGAAAACTTGGTATTAATGTTTCTTACATTATTGTCTTATTAGGATTGAGTCATACAGTGTGAATCATTTTAAGTTACAATAGTATTGCTACTGTTGTGTTAATTACATGTAAATTGAAACTATGAAGATGGAATAATAACTGTAGACATTCAACATTGAAGAGTTTTTTTTAATGATTCAGTCAATTAATGAAAGTAAAATTTCTGTTGTTGATTTTCACCTATAAATATTAATAGACATTCTGACATGATCAAATAGTTATATTATTGTTTGAAGTGTGATGATAAATTTGAAGAAGATTAGAAAAACGAAAACCTGGAATTTCAGTCAATTATTAATGAGTGCTACAATGTAAACAATTTTAAAATTCTATTTTTTAATCTTCATTTAAATACTAGCTTGGATAAACTAGATAATGAGTGGATACTCAATTTCTCTTCTGCCTGGTAATAAAAATATTTTGTAAGTACCCTAAAACCATGTAGCCATTCTGGAGATATCTTCAAATTATCCCTCCAATCTTTTGTATTTATGATATTACTAACTTTAAACAGCATTTCCATTGGTATGGAATTATAGAAAATAGCCTATGTATTCTTCCAGATTAGTTCTACATCTGTGTCATATTTCATCAAAACCTATTCTGTAGTTTTGACTACAAGTTATACCAAACATCCATCCATCTAAATGTCAGCATTGATAGTATTAGTAAGATAAAAGTAATCTCAATGTCAGTCCATACATACTTATTCATGACTTTCATTGTATTAGTTTGATAGTTATGTTTCTGTTGTAATTATAATTATCATCTATCTATCTGTATAAGGTTACATTGAAATCAGCTCTGGAAGCTTGGCAACTATTTTGGTGCAATTCCTTCTTAATATCAAACTAATATTATAAATGCAAAAGTTTACATTGATGGATGGATTTGTTAGAGTTTGTAGCCTAAACAGCTAAACTGATTTTGATTAAATTTGGTATAGATGTAGAGGATAATCTAGAAGAACACATAGGCTATCTACATTTGTATTTTTAATTTCGTGCAGATGGAGATGCAGGCAAAAGCTAGTTATTTATATTTTGTTATAAATTATTTTCAACTAGGAACATTCAAAGCCGATACAAAAAAGGGCATTTATAACATCATATTTGAAATGTTTAATTTTATCAATATTTTTCTATTTGAATTAATGTGTATTATTCATATAATCCTTTCTCTTGAATCACTCTATCTGTTAAAAAAACTGTATCTAAATGTGTTGTGTACTTTTAAAGATGTAAGCATACATAGGGACAAACAGCGGGAAGGATCTTTGTTTTGTAATTAATGATGAAGTGTAAATGTTTTATTTCTTTATTATTTAAAGATTCCAGGTGTCATCATGTCTTTGGAGAGGGAATCTGTGGGTGTGATGCCCCAGGTCAACCTGGGGAATGCCTCGGTGGACCCCAGGTCACAACTGCTACAAGAGATGAGGGAGCAGAACTTTGATATGATTCGATTTGCCTCATATCGAACTGCATGTAAACTACGATATGTACAGAAGAAATGTAATTGTGAGTAATACTTATATTACTATTCGCTTTCGCCCACAACTTTGTTCGCGTGGAGTAAATTGAGTAACCTTGTGTAATTCTAGACTATCTTCTATGTCTATGCCCAAATATATTGAGAGTCGTTCAGCCGTTGGGGCTACGAACTTTAACAAACATCCATCCATCTAAATGCAATTAGAATATTAGTATGATCAGTAAGATTATAAGAAATGCACGTATTGCGTGAAAGGTGACATGATCAAGAAGGGAGTTATGACTAAGATGAAGGATGATATAGTTATTTGAAGGGCGAAAACCCGCAGCGCCATTGATACTAAGATTGTAGTTTTTAAAACTTTTTCAATACAATTTATCAATAATTTTCCTTTACAGTACATGTGATAGATATATGGAATGTAATAGAAGCATTCAGAGAGAATGCATTGAACACGTTAGAGCCGAATGCGTGTGTTAATGTAACAAGACTGGAGACTCTAGTATCTTCTTTGTATCACAATTTAAATAAAAGATTACCACCTGCACATCAAGTGTCGGTGGAGGCTTGCTCTGCATTATTACTGAATTGGTTACTATCGGCATATAGTACTGGGTAAGTTGGTATCAATTTTAAGACTAAAATTTATTGCGAAACTTCAGGAACAATCCATATTTGCGACTTGTTGCTGATATCATTATCACCAGCTCACTAGATGTCCCCACTGCAGGTTATTTCCAACCGTCACTCTGCTCTGTCTCCACATGGGGACAGATGAGAATAACGAGTTTCATCCGTCCCACCTTTTAGTTTTACTATCACCAATAAGGTGACAGGTGCGATTCCATCTGAATAAGATATATAGTAATTTCAACCGTCCCCTCGTCGCAAAAGGTGGGACGGATGAAACTTATTATTCTCATCTGTTAGCACATGGGAACAGAGCCGGGTGACGGTTGGGAATAATCCCCAACTTAGGGAGTCGGAGCCTACCCCAAATTAGGGGTGAATAGGCCATTGTTGCTGACATAAATAATAGTAATAATTGTGAATTAACGATTATTTTGACTCTAAATTGCTTGATTTTATTCTGATATATTACTATTATCTTAGTAAATAATTTTATAATGGAATTTTTTTTTTTTCAGTGATAATGTAGGCAAAATAAGAGTGTTTTCTATTAAAGTGGCATTAGCTACAATGTGTGCTGGGAAACTAATGGATAAGTTAAGATGTGAGTAACAAGACTTAATACTATTTTACAATTAGAGTATACACATACCAAAAAAATGTAGAAAAACGTAGCTTGCCAATTACTACCAAGTCATATACACATACCAGTTTAATAAAACAGTAGAATGCCAGCTTACAAGACTACAAGACAAGATGTCATTATCAATCTTTGCAATCTCCCTACTTTTTACAGGAATACAGTTAGCGATTACTCATGCCTCTAGCTGGCATGTGTAAGTATCTTGCATTTAAGTGTGCCTTCTACTGGCATATGTATTCTCCTCTTTATGCCTGATTCACACTTGTCCAGTACAGTTAGTCAGAAGTGCTTACTGTATGTTTGTATTCAACTGGTATAACATGAACATTAACTAGTGCCAGTGAGTCAAAACAATCCATCCCTTAACTGCGCTACTATCTAACAGTACTGGACAAATCTAACACTTTTCTTCTTGACATTTTCTTTATAATTGTATATTTTGTATTGTATATGTATATAACTAAATTAAAAAAAAGTGTGAACCAGGCATTAAGGTCAGTCAACTTTGCAACTATCAAGGATTTTAATTTCGTCTTTTCAATATTTAGATTATTAAATTAAATGTATGTCTTAAGGCAGGGGTGGCGAACATTTATCTATCAAAGTGCCATTTTTTATAAAAACGTTTAATGCGGTCTTAGACGTGCCATCGAATAATATTGACCGTGATTACGTCAATTCTATGGTGCACCTATTTCATAATTTTTCGTACTGTTTTTATGACTATCGACGAGCCGGAAATATTTTTTCATGTGCCATTTATGGCAAACGTGCCTGTGGTTTGCCACCCCTGTCTTAAGGTGTAGTATAATTAGGTCATCAATGTAATATAACAAGTGTAACATAAGCGGTTGACCACACCGCAGACATATTCTCTCAACTATCGGACGGCAATGGCCACCTGCTGGTGAAGCGGCTATCGGATTACTTGCGAGAAGTGCTGGCGCTGCCCGCTGCGGTTTACGAGTCGCCCTCATTCTCTTACAATGATACATTAGCCTTGTCTATATTCAATCAGGTGGGTTTAAAATCTCTATCTATACTTCTATACTAATATTATAAAGCGTAACACACACTACTTCGTGGCGTAGGATGTCAGCAATCACAGCATATTTTTGAATAAATATTTCTTTAATAAAAGGCCCTAAACTTACGACACGCTTTAGGCTATATATTTTCACGCTATTAAACTTAGGGGTAATTAAATTGGAAAAAAATCCTTCTTGTGGGAGTGGGACCTTAAACTACAAGTTCAACATTAAGGAACCAAGCTTATTATGGTAACGGTAATTTTGACATTTGCAATTGAGAATTTGACAAATAAAAACAACAAAAAAGTTTAAAAACATTATTCAGACAGAATTCATATTTTTTTTGTAGTTTTTAACTATCTTTCTTCTTTGGATATAAAAGGAAATTAAGAAATAACTTTATGTACTTTCTGCTAATTAAGAATGTATAAATCAATGTTTATAAATTTCTTGTTTCAGAATGGAAAAATAACAGTAAACGATTTCTTGGACACACTGATGTCGGATCCGGGACCTCCTTGTCTCGTCTGGTTACCGCTGTTACATCGTTTAGCTAGCGTTGAAAATGGTAATTATGGTTTTAATTAATTTGTTTTAAATTAACTTAAAAATGTTGCATATCTTGTCATATTTATCTTTTAAAAGAATCGAGATAAATATCACAGCGACCCCCAAACTTGAGACATGAATGCATTCATGGAAATTTATTTTTATTGTAGAGTCCTTTCAAAATACTGTAATATTTTTTAATTATTATTACTTTTCTTCTTAAGCTTTTGGGACCCCCGATTTAAATTTCTATAACCACAACACAGACCCTGTAGTAGAATCCCATAGGGCCATCTCAACCACATAACCGTGAACCAAGTTATTATGCATAGTTACCATGCATAGTATATTAATTCAATGGAAATTATAAATTAATACATCACTAACTGATGCTCTCTTTCCCACGTGAAGGATTTTTTCCAATGTATTTACCCCCCCCCCCAAATTTAAAAGGGTGTCGAAGTGTACGGCTTTTTATTGAAGAAGGGATTATTCAAAATTATGCTATGATTGCTGACCTAGGCGTGAAGTGGAAGCAATTCCACGTTTCGTCTGATAAGTGTGGTGCCGGAGGCCTAATTTTAGTCCCTTTACCTTTCCACCCTTTTCTTAAGTGGGAAGCAAAAGTGGATTTGACGTTGGAGGAGACGCATAGGAAGGGGCAATGTCCTCTTTATATGCGTCTCCTTCGTCAATGAAGGGTAGGCAACGCATGTGCAATTGCGGATGTCTATGGGCAGTGGCCGCTTTTCTTTTCCGTGGATTCAGGTGACCGCTTGCTCGTTTGCCACCTTATACTATGAAAAAAAAAAACGTCGGAAGTATGTCTTTACGCTTTATTATATTAGTATAGGTTAAAAAAATATTGTTTTAGTGGTGCACCCGCTGGCGTGCAGCGTGTGCCGGCGCGGCTCGCTGACGGGGTTCCGGTACCGCTGCACGCGCTGCGCCGCATACACGCTCTGCCAGGACTGCTTCTGGCGCGGCCGCGTCTCCCCGCCGCACACCAATGAACACGAAGTCAAGGAGTATGCCGCTTATGTAAGTTTATTTAGTTTTTTTTATTTATAACACTAACTGTTCCCGCGCGGCTTCACCCACATGAAGTTATGTAATATGTTGCATGAAATATGTTCTAGACCTCCACTGTCAAATTCACTTTAACTTCTTATCCTATCCTAATAAAAAATGTAGATAGGAAAAGAGTCCAAAGTAAGGACATCGATACTCAAAATAGACATTGATTATCCAGAAATTCAAATAAAATGCTATTACTCCAAGACAAGTTCTTCACCGGACAAGGCCACCTTTTGTCCTCCAATATTAACTCTTCCATCTTCGATACACTTTCCTTTTGTTCCTTTTCATGTAATTTTTTAAATCTTCTAACGTTCCAATCCTTGTTGCTTGCCCGCTACGGGTACTAACTGTAGGTGATTTATTATTATAATAAACATTAATATCGAGTTAATAATTTAATTTAGAATAGATAAGTAGCTGTATCATCCGTCATCTCAGTCATCACTCCCTTCTTGATCATGTCACCTTACACGCAATCCATTCATCTCTTTCTACATCTACCTCTACCGGTGTACACTT